CACTTAGCATTCATGGGTTTTAGGGGTTGGGGTGTCAGGATTGGGGTTTGGGTTTGGGTTAGGGGTTTTATGGGTCGGGGCTAGGGATTGGGGTTCAGGGCTTAGGGTGGGGGTTTAGGGTGGGTGTTTTTGGTGGATCTTTTGACTTTGTGAAGCTGCTTCAAAGCGGTTATGGGTCATAAGAGGGGTTATTGGGGATAGTAGGTAGCGCATCATCTTCCAAGTAGGGTCTAGCGTTTGGGGGCATACTTCAACCAAGATGGGCGACTAGACGTTATCGGCTCGTTAACCTACTCTTATTTGGGTCCTACTGACGAATTATTGGGTTTTATAGCCCATCCAGAAAGGTTCATGGGACCCAGTAACGACTCATAACCGCCCTTGTAACTCAACGTATAAGCCCCCCAACTGGCTTCATAGAGGTTACCAACACTCTTGGTTAAAGCCACAATTATCAATAGCAACGACTTCCCATGAACCTTCAAATGGGGCTTCAAGGGTATGGGGTGTTAGGGATATGGGGTCTTAGCAGCGTAGGGTAGATGAGCATAGATGAGCTTAAGGTCTATCAGGGAATTGCTTGGAGGTTCTTGGGAAGTAGCAATCACTTCTAACTGGGTGTACAATCATACGTAAAATTCGTGGAAACTCTTCAAGGCCAGGTATCGAAACCGCCGCAAATCCTACAACCCAAGCCCTAGAACCTAAACCCCTTCACCCCGAACCCTACACCTACACCCCCCTGGACCCTGAACCCTGGATGCCGGGCCCTAAATCCTGAACCGTGAAACACTTCTACCTTCTGGAATTCCATAGAATTTGGGGGAGCCTCTAGGGATAGTTGGATTTAGAGTTAAGGGTTTAGGGCTTAGGGGTGAGAGTTTAAGGGTTTAGGCGTGAGAGTTTAAGGGTTTAGGGCTTAGGAAAGTGTGGGGTTTTAGGGACTAGGGCTTAGGCTTTAGGGGCTTAGGGCTTAAGAGTTTAGGGCGTAGGGGGTTACGCATGCTAGGGTTTGGGTTTAGGGCTTCACTTGGGAGGATTTCACAGCATTCAGGGCGGCCATGGGAGTCACTCTGCTAAGCCCTCAATCCTGAGTAGTAAGGCCCTGAAACCCAAGCTCTGGTTGCAGACCTAGCCCTGGCTCTTAATAGCGAATATGGGAATATATTATATATGGATTTTATAGGGCTTATATTTAGGGTTTAGGGTTTCAAGAATTCTGTCCCAGCTGCGCTGTAAGCACCAAAGCTGCCATACAGGCAGCGGCAACGGCCCGACACCTGAAAGTTAGGATTCACAATGTGGGGTGTGGGTTGCTGTTTAGGGGTTTAGGGGTTTATAGGGTTTAGGGTTTAGGGATTGGAAGTTGAAGCCTTACAGCTAACAGCTAAAGTGCTTGCCGATTGGAAAAGTGGGACCCGGGTGCTGCTTGATGTGGTGTTTCGGATAGGTCTGAGAGTCTCAACGTTTAAATGATATAGTGTTGGGGTTTGAATATGCCTGTGGTTTGGGAGCAGGGCATAGGCATGATGGTCAAGGGGTTTTGGCTGCACTTTCCAAACTCATAGCAGACAAACACTCTGCATACTTCATGTGTCCGCCAAGCGGCTCTTCCCATCCAGCCGCATTGCCTTCTTGAGCACCTGTAGGGGCTTCTGAGCTCAAGGTGTAGGGTTTAGGGTTTGACCATTTTGCGGCTTCCAAAAACCACAAAGTCTTATAACCCGAAGAAGGCGGAAAGTACCCAGAACTCAAGAAAGAAGGACGATTTTTGCAGCGGTGCAAGGAACCCCATACACCCAAAGTATATGAGCTGCAGTCAAAGTGTCCTACATAATTCAAGGCACATGGGTTCCTCATGAGTGAACATATATCTAGGACGATGCTAAACTACAAGAGGGATACCCAAGTCCACCACACATCTGCAGAGAGCTGGTCTAAAGAGAGTCAGAGGTGAACCTTAGAAGGGCTCCAGACGGTTGAGGTCCGCCTGGAGCGATATAAGAATCGCGCGTACGTCATTGCGCTCGCGTGAAAGAGGGCGAGGTTCACAAGGACGCCGCGTAAAGACCTGAAAACGCGAACAGCAACACGGACACTTGGTGAGACAAGAGAGACAGAAACC